TTATATACATTTTAGATCACATATGCATTTATGTAAAAATTTCCCATTATATGTAATATTATTTTTTAAATTTATACTTCTAAATTAATCATCAGCATATTAGATCACATGAGACTTAATAGGATCAATTAAATTTCCCTATATAAAAAGTTAAATTCCCAACTACAGTCAAACATTGCCAATTTTAGACCATATCAAACAAAAATTATGTAAAAATTAAAAAACTTTTCCCTACATTTTCTTAACTACACAGTTATTCTTATAAAGTTTCATATATACTTAAATATTCGTACTTTTAGATCAACCTTTTAGATCACATAAGCATCCATTTAAACATTTAGAAACTCGACACTTTGCGCATGTATGTACAGATTTAGTACATACAATCAAATCTCTCATTTTTCGATAGCTTCTCGAATTTTTAGATCGCGATTCCCAGTATTTTACATTATTGAGTGCTCTATTAGGCTAAAGCTTAAATTAAAATATTTTGAAGTTTACAACCCTGTAAACGCACAATTTGAGCTCTCCTGCGAGTTTAATTTCCAAAAGGCTTTATTTCGTCCCAGTCTTTGGTTTTGAGTACCGTAAATGTTTTTAAAAGTTATTGAGATTTAAATTCCCAGTATTTTAGTTCTGCCTGCGCAGTTATGTATGTGTATAGCTTATGCTTCAGCATGGCTATTTTGGCATTCAACAATTTCCCCATATTGATTTCTTAACCTGATTCGAACGATTGTCGAATTCCCCTTGAATGTAACGGTATCCATGCGAATCTCTGTCAATTCGCTGAGTCTTGCTCATCGTCTAGACTTTGAACCGTGTTGCGTACACAACGCTGTCGCCAGTAAAACACAGCCCCCCTCCCCCCCCCCCCACACCAGCAACAATGCCAGACCCAAAACCCGACGCTCCAAACCCGAGACCCAACCCTCCGCTTATCAAAACAACAACAAAAACCAAAAAAAAAAAAAATCTATATATAGTACGTATATTAAAAAATAAAAACAAAAAAAAAACGCTGACTTGAAAATCTGTCTCAGAACGGGGAGCACATGCACATTGCTCTTTAGCTGGCCCGTTATTGCTCTCTCGCTCTCTCGCTGCTGGTCCGCGGCGCTGGCGTTGTGTCTCCGTTAGATTGTGCTAAAAATAGGGGGGGTCTACGATTGGGCGCGCGCTGTTATTTTTAATGGAAACTAGATCACGTTGAATTCACGTTGGCGTTGTTTACGTTTTCACTGGCGTTACGCCCACAGGCTGCAGTCGTCGTTGTCGTTGTCGTTGTCGCGGGTTTCCGTTCTTCGATCACGGCTGGCTGCAACAAACAACAACAACAACAGCAGCAGCAGCAGCAGCAGGCGAAGCATACAAAACATCAACAACATGCCTTATCAGAGAGCGCGTTACCGTTATCAAAGCAGCACTCACATATGGCATACACACACACTCGCACACTCGCACGCACGCACACATGCACATGTATTGCTCATGTGCGTAATAGATGCTCCGCAACAAGCCAAGGACCCAAGTAATACGCACCCAAAAAAAAAATAAACTTTACGCTATTATTAGCCAGCTAAACTAGGCTCTCTCTGTGTTATTGCTGCAGTTGCCGCATTGCGGGAAAAACCCGCTAAAATCGTAAAAAAAAAAACGAAAAAAAAAACAATCGTCATAAACAAAAGCAAAGTTCGCTCATAAGCCTTATCTGCCTGCCCCATGCCAATTAAAACCACAAAAAAAAAAAATATTTATGTACACAAAAACGAAAACTTGCAATTCTTCACATTTGCTTGGCATAAATTAACATACATACATACATACATACATATGCATGTATGTACATACATATATAAGTATGTATGCACAGACATACATAAGCACGCGATGGCTCGATAACAGTGCCGATTGAGCATCATCTGTACGAACGCAGCCTGGCATCTTGCCTGCCTGCTCTGGCTGCCGCACTTATCAGCCGATCATCGGCAAGGCATTTGCTCAACGGGTTTGCCAACTAGAGTTCCCAGAAGAGCAACAGCAACAATAACAATATCAATAAAAGTGCACAGGTTAACAAATGTTGGCTGCCAGCTGACCCCAAACGGGCCGCAGCCGCGGCTCAAGCGTGAGAGAGAGCGAGAGGGAGGGAGATAGGTGGATGCTGTTTATGCTACTGTCACTCGCTGATGGATTCACTCTAGTTGTTCTTTTTGTTTGCATTGTTGTTCGTCGTGTACTCAAACCGATAACGCACACAAAATGCACTTGCACTGTACAATTGTGTGTGTGTGTGTGTGCGTGTGTGTGCATGTGCGTGCGTGCATTTGTGTGTGTACTTTGTTCAACAGCAAATAATATTAATATTGTCATTGTTATTGTTATTAATGCTGAATACAGCACACACGCACACACACACACACACACACTAATGCTGTGTGTGGCAACAGTGACCCCTCGCTGTTGATTTCTATGTGTCATGGACAATACGTTTCGAGGGTGGCCAAAAGCTGTCTGAAAGGGGGGCGGCCAGACACATACATACGTACATACATACAGAATTCTTCAAACAGAATAGTATTAGAAAAAGGAAACGCAATAAATAAGAGTATGTGGGCAGATATGTATATGTTGTAATTGAACAATAGAAAAAGTATAATACATACATATGTACATATATTATAAACATTTGTGGTATTTCCTTTTTTCTTGACGTTAAACTAAATAACCTATTTGTTCATACATACATAGTATGTATATGAAAGCTGGGGTTCGAGCCCGAAACTATGTCGAGCTTTACACGAGCACAAAATCAAACTAGTTTAATAAAATATAAACAATTAATACCTGTAAATATTTATCTCAAATAAAATGTATAAGCTAATCTTGTACTTGGTTATATTATAATGACTTTAAATCTTTAAATATCTATTTGAGAAAAATAAAAAACTGTACTTTGTATTTGCTTGCAGACCGCTTTCACAGGCTTGAAACCAATGTGCGGACACAGTGCAAAGCACAGTTGGGGCAGAGTAATGCGAATTATGTATAAATATGTACGTGCATATGTATGTATGTATGTATGTATGTGCATGTGTGTTAGTATACTTTATGAATATCATTTCAGCAACGGTTACTCGGCTGCTGTGGCGAGGCAAGGCGAGGCTTCGTGAGGCGCTTGCAGCACACAAAGAATTCTTTTTCAATTTGGCTGTGAAACAATAAGCAACGAATGCCTTAAAATAAAAAATAATAATAAACGCTGAACTGCCGCTGTTAAAAGCTTTAACTGTAACTGCAACTGTGCAATTTGTAATTAATAAAAATCACACGAATTGATCAACACTATAAAAAGGGAACCGAAATCGATTCGCAATCAAAAACCAATCGAATTTTGTGTGAACCACTGGACGGGGGCACGCAGGAAGCGGCAGGGTTGTCAAATAAACAGTAACCAAAAAGAAAAGAACAATATATAAAGAGAAAGAGAAGCCACAGCGAGGGAGGAGACAATCAGGGGACAAGCGACAAACCAACTCAATAAAGCAAGCAGACAAACAAACAATTCTTACAAGTGCCTTGAGTGTAAGTGTATGTGTGTGTGTGTGTGCGTGTGCGTGTGCGTGTGCGTGTGCGTGTGCGTGTGCGTGTCTGTGTGCGTGCGTGTGTGTTGTTGTGTTTCGTTTAAAATGAGATAACAACAAGACGCACAGCAGACGCAAACAGCCACAGCAGGCCGCAGTCCGCAGTCCGTAGGCCGCAGTCGCAGTCGCAGTCACAGCCACAGTCTGAGTCGGGAGTCTGCGTCTAATTATAGCACACTGGTCGCTAAAAATACAATTCACATCAATTTTCTGCCCCGTTGCCCAGCGTCAGCCACAAACACTGGCAAACAAATCAACAGGCAAACGCAGCCAACAACTAACTAACTAAGCTCGTCGCACACACAGTGCGGCAGAGAGCGGCCAAACAGCAAGAGAGAGAGAGAGAGAGAGAGAGAGAGAGAGAGCGCGCGGCAGAGAGCAAGTGCGTGTTTGTGGCGAGAGGTTACAATTTCGTAATAACCGTGCAGCTTGACGAAGCAGCTGATTGTTTATTTGATATTTGCCGATAGCGAGACACACAGCACAATACACAGCCGCAGGCGTGGGTGGAGGGGGACCGATCAACGTTAGCTGAGCTGAGCGCCAGACGAGCAGGCTAAAAACAATAACAACAGGAAAATAAGAAGAAGAAGAAAAAAAGGCTGCAAGGGCAACAGCACGAAAAACGCGTTAAGCTTAGTCAGCGAAAGCCCCCAACAACAACAACAACAAAAACAACAGCAGGAGCGCAATTGCAGCTGCGCGTGTGTGTGTGTGTGTGAGAGGCCAGAGAGCGAAACAAACAAGTTATATATATATATATATATAGAGAGAGAGACAGAGAGAAGTCGAGAGAGTCGAGCACGTCTGGGCAAAGAGTCGTTTGATCAACGCGCCGAGCCTGTTCATCAAAGCGCGTTCCAAATCCAAGCCAAACGCATCGTTGGGTCGTGCGCTCGATCGCTTTCAACAGTCCTCGATTGGTGTTGTTCAGGACACCAACTACAAGAACCGGAACCAGAATCAGAACCAGCGACAGCAGCAGCAACAACAACAACAACAACGACGACGAACCGAACCGAACCACGAAATGCAACAAAATCGCAAATCAGCGCGCGTTACCATCAAACTGTTCAATAATCATACTCCAAAGACACCGCCCGCAAATTAGCCCAGACTCTCTTTATATCGATAGTTCTTTATCGATACCAATTAGCTAAGCATAATAATTGCATTTATTATTATATTACCATTATAACTGTCGACTTTTTTTTTATTATATCTTTCTATTTTATTTTATTATTTTTTTTTTTTTTTTTTTGAATTTTTTGTGTGCACGTTAACTTATCCCGCACAATCTGTTATTATTATTATTATAAAATTTTTTTTTTTTTTCGTATCTATACACACATGTTATTTAATATTTTTTTTCGTGGCAATTAATTGTGATTTTCGAAACTGTGTGATTGCAAAAGAACGACAACAAAAAGAAAGTTCCTTAAGCAAGTGATAAGTTAAAAACTGCAAAAAGCAAAACAAATAAAGAAAAGCAACAAAAGCAAAATCAAACTAAAAACAAAATCGTGCAAGCCAAGAATCGTGCTTCGACAAAAGGACACGATAAACCCGCTGAATTTGGACCAGTTGCGCTTTGTCCCCCAACCCCCCGCTCCCCCCCACAACGAAAAGCCCAAACGGAAGTGAGATTCAAAAAACGATCAAACGCGCTTAGCATGCAAAAGTAAGTATCATTAAATGTAATTATTAAACAACTATTTTAGAGGTTCTATTCTTATTAATTAATTATATTAAATGCTAAGGAAATATACAGTTGAGATATTGTCCAACACTTGTTATTGGTATACATTTGAAGTATTTCCCAACACTTTAAATTGTTCTAAAAAGCATCAATGGTAGAATACATTTCAGATATTTTCCAACACTTGTAATTGCTATAAAAGCGTCAAGGACAGATATTTTCCAACACTTATATTTGCCAACACATTTGAGATATTTTCCAACACCTTTTACAACTATAAGGGAAGCGAAGGATGATTTGATTTGCAATATTTTCCAAGCCTTTAATTTGGTTTAAAGGAATCAAAGACTGACTATATTGCGATATTTTCCAACACTTTTGATAGCTACAAATGCTTGAATGTAATTATGTAATCGTATACGAAATATAAATATATTTAACAAACAGCCGCATTCAAAAAGTATGCTACATGAATTGCACACGAACTCTGGGCTAAATGTGAGAAATAAATTCGACTCCAACTGGAAACGAGAACACGTTTAATTCCAATTAGAAAGGTTGACAATAAGAATGCGCAATTGTTATGCAGAAGAGGAGTTAAGGATACAGTTAAAGTGAAAAGTCAAATGGGCCTGATTAGCCGGGTCAGTTTACCACTCGGAAATTGATAAAGCCACGAATTGCACTATCTGTAAACTAGTTTTGACTTTCAACACAACCTTGCCCTCATGGTACTACGAATCGAAACTTTGGTTCCCATGAAAAAAAAAGCAAATACTATATACATATACATACGCATATATCAGATGCCACTCGTGACTGAACAATATATGTACATATACATATATATAGCATATAGCAAAACAACATTGAAGCACATAAGACACATATATATATTCTATATTCTACTATATATATATATATATATGTATATATGCTGTAGTCACAAGATCTTGTTTCTATAATAGAGATTATGCTCGAGTACTTTTTGGTTTTTTGTTTTTGGGTGCTGACACCTCGAATCGGGCATTGTTTTAAGGAACAATAAAAAAAAAAAGTGAAAACAATAAATAACATTCTTTTTTTTTTTGTTTTTCATTTTTGATTTAAAAAATAATTCATGTACCAAATGATAAGCACAACAAGCTCGGGTTTATTTTTAAACATTGAAGTTTATGTAAATATTTCCTGGGCCGCGCCGCGCGACGCAAACAAAAACAGAATGTGTGAAAGGAATGGAATGGAATATGGAAAGCACAATAATATTTGATATTGATAAGAACCGCGGGCCCCGAGTTGCCGCCGTCTCGTCGCGAGATACAACGTGCTCAATGCCCATTCGAAATCAGACAGTCCGATTTAGATAAGATTTATGTAGATAAAGCTAAGAGGTCAACCAGGTATCGATGCGCCGACTTTTAGATGGTTGTTCTAAGGTCGGAGACCTATTTAGCAGCAAGGATAATAGCTGGATATTATTTAGCTCAAAGTATATTATTATATATTATATTATAATCTATTCCATTCCATTCAGTCAGTTACGAGTTAGCGAGCTTTTCCCTTTACCCATTGCGAGTCCTTTTTAAAACAGTTTCGGTTATTAGAGTATTACCCTGTCCTGTAGAAGAGGCCGACTAGGAGATACTCTGAACCCAGCCCCTAGCTGCTGTTACAAGGATCCCAGATGTCTTCCTTGAAACGTACTCAAAAAAAAAAACACACAAGACTATGCTATGCTTTTTCATCCTTTGGTTCCGCACAAAGTACGGGCTATGAATTGTTGCTTAACTTCGGTGCTTATAGTCCGATCATTTTGAAGTTTTCACAACAGTATCCAGCTCTAGCTTTAAAAATTAGACTTTTTCACGTTTTGAGAAAATGGAGACCAAGCTTAGTGTGCCTAGCTCTTATATTTACGAGTTATATTTAGCTTGATGTAATGAAATGGGAGAAGAAATTGAAGACAATGTAGATAAAAATAATAACAATAACAACAAAAATAATAATAATAACAACTATATTAATAGTAATAATAATTCTTATAGTTATAATGATAGTAAGATTATTAAAAATGAAAATAACAATAGAAATAATAAGAATAATAATCATTTTTATTATTATTATAATAATACAAATTTGATAATAACAATATTGATGGTAAATATAATGATTTATAATAATAATAAACATTGAAACAATGATAATAAAAATAAAAAAATAATAATAACTATACTAATAAAAATATTAATTATTATCAAGAGCAACAATTAGATAATAATAAGAATAGTAAAAATACATAATAAATAATAATAATGATAATAATATAAGAATAAATAAAAAGATAACGATAATAATAATGATAGCAATAATAGCACTAAAATAATAAAAATAATAATAAACTAATACGAATGATTTAAAATTAGCCAATAGAAATAATAATAAGTATTATTTTATTTGAATATTAATAATAGCAAAATAATGAATAATTATAATGATGATGACAATAATAAAATAATACTAACAACAATGGTAATAGTGATAATAAAATGAAAAATAATGAAAATATATATAATAAGTATAATATTTATAATGGCAATAATAATCATTATAATCAATATTAACAATAATAACATTAGAGCCAAAGATGTATTTATCACGCTGTAGGGCAATTCATTAAGGCCTTATTTTTCCGGCTTCTTTTATCATTCAAACATATATATATCATTTACGAAACTCTCTCCTAGTGCTATAAATGGATCTTAAAAGAAAGTCATTTTATTTATATACATATATATATATATTAGTGTATTTATATGCTGTTATTTGATATGGAAAACTGATTAATCAATTTGATTTTGTGCATTGCAGATGATTTGCTCGCTGACAAGCTCAACCTTCTTGCCACTGCTGGCGGCAGTAGTGTGTTTGGCATTCGGCCTGTCTCTGGTGGCCGGCACACCGATCGCGTTCACGCCCGAGGATCTGGAGATCAAGCATCGCTGCAGCAAAGATCTGGCCGAGACCATCAATGTGATCTGTCAGGGTCGCACCGTCTCGCTGGGCCAGCTTTATCGTAAGTGCACGGAATATCTTTGGCCCAGCCCAATTACTAATTGGTATATACTTATTTCATTGTTCATCAGCCAAAAGCTTTGGCAAGCGCACCAAGCGCTTCGCTACCGACGAGACCTTCTACAGGCCACTGCAGAATGGGCCCATACACGAGTGCTGTCTGCGCGCCTGCGGCTATCCCGAGATACGTCAATATTGTGCGCCCGATTAGGGACTCAATTTGTACACATTATCATATATAGATGCATTAGGCAATGCCAGCTGATGTTGCCCACCCACGCCCACACCCACCCACCCACACACACGCACACCATACGCCTAACGGCATCTATTTCAATACACCACACACACACACACACACACACACACACACGCCCATACACTAATTATATTGTATTAATTTAAGCTATGCACTAATAAAAATTTATACAACTATGAGAGCAATGCAGATGCCATTAATGCAATCAATCTATCCCGGGACCGGGCGCTTGATATGATATGATATATGATATGTGATATGTGATATGTGATATGTGTTATGCCCAATGGAAAGCATAAACATATAACCGAAAGACTTCTTATTGGCTTTTAAATATCGATTTGTCTTCTAGTCCAAAATGACTCGTTCTAAGACTCGATATCGATAGCTGAGGCCAGTTTTTGGATATCTGAAATAAACATTCGAAGTGGCAAGAAGTCACTTTTCAGATTTAGTATTTTTTAGCTCTTAGAAGCCGAGATAAGCACAAAATCGTTGAATTGTAGCTATCGATATTTATCGATTCCAAAATATCCTTCTTTATAAATACATTATATTTAGAATAGCTAGATGCACCAGATTTGGCGTACAGTTTCTCGCATGGCAAAGAACTCATTTGTCAAGTTATGCTGAAAAAAAAACTACTATTTCTCTCGATCGATATATATCGATATCATAAGAAAAGGGGAACATATATCCAAGAAAACGGCTCGCCAAAGATTTAATACCCTTGCAGCTATATAACAGCTATATAATATATATGTTGTATTAGTCCGATCTAGAATGGAAATTATGGAAATTCGTAAGGAGCATAGTCCAACTATCTTAAATAGCAAAAGTTTTTCTCACAACAATCTCATTTTTCGGCCGATTGTTCCTATGGAAATAAATGTTGCGTTTTATTAAGAAATCTTGTTCATACATGAATCCACCTTTCGACCGATCGTTCCTATGGCAGCCATATAATATAGTGGCTCGATCGGGTTTTGCTATATGTGCTTCCTGCAGCAGAAAGACGGTTCTATGCAAAGTTTCAAGAGGATAGCCTCAAGACGAAGAGACTAGACGGATAGATGGCTCTATCAACTCGGCTGTTGATGCGCATCTAGAATATATATATATATATATATATACTTACTTTATGGACTCGGAGATGTCTCCTTCAAAGCGTTACACATTTCGTGACAAAATAAGAATACCCGCTAGAAGGGCATATCGATTATAAGCCGAGTCTGCGTGTGGTATGGAAGGGTAAATGTTTCCAGTTTCCTATTTGGAAGCGTTTACACAGACGGACAGACAGCCGGACATGGCCAGCTCGACTCAGTCCTGATCAGGAATATATGTATATATATAGCTGCTTTCTTCTGCCTGTTGCATACATTTGCACTAAAACGTTTTACCCATTTGCAGGGTACAAAAGCTGTTGATTGTATTGTATATATATATATATATATGTATATGTATGTATAGGGTGCATAAGTTCACATATGTTTGACGTTAAGCCCCTTTTGTATTGCGGCTTAGAGATCTATTCAAAATTAAATTTAATAGCTTCCGTGGAAAACGCATTTATGTCAGCCTTTAAAATGCTATCTAGCCCCCTCTCCCCCTCTCTTTCGCCCTCTCTTTCGCTCTCGCTCTCTCGCTCTGGCGCAGCGCTCATTAGCGTCCTTTGGCCAATGGCTGGGCCTTTCTTCTTCTTCTTCTTCTTCTTCTTCGTCTATTTTCATTCAATCTATTCATAAAATACGCTTCGCTGACCTTTTTTGTGGGATGTGGCTGGGCGGGCTTGGGGGTGGCTTTTTTACATGGCAAACGACACACACACACACACACACACAGCGAGTGAGAGGGGGGGGATGGGGGGGTGACGTTTGGGATTAGTGAATGGGGGTCAGATGACTGCAAATTATGTCACGAGCGGCAATTCGGATGATTTTTAATGATGTTGAAATCAGCTACGCATGGGAATTGACCAGACACCATGGGCACACACACGCACACACGCACGCACACACATACAGAAAGACGAATATACGAATAGAGAGAAAGGGAGAGAGAGCGGGCCGCTCAGCGCTTGGAGGAGAGATGCCTGTAGTTAATCCAGCGACTAACTAGCGCGTCCCGCACCTGCAACGGCTGCTTCAGATCCGATTTGCGCGCTCTCATTGCCAAGGAATTTCGGATCGCGGTTGTGGCATGCGGCGGCTGCTGCTGCTGCTGCGGAGGTTGCGGAGGTTGGGATTGGGTTTGGGATTGGGATTGGGATTGGGATTGGGTTTGGGATTGGGTTTGGGGTTGGGATTGGGTTGGCATGCAGCACTCTGGATTGTCGTTGCGGTTCCTGTTCGTCAGCGGCTTCTCGTAGCGGCGCAGCTTCTGTGTGCGCCAGAGATCCGCGTTGGGGGCACGTTTGCCCAGACGACCGCCGATTTGTTGGCTATGCGGCAGCTGTTGCAGCGGCCTCTGAATCTGTAGCAAATTTGGCGCATTTACGGTGCATGTTAACCAAATCGAACATGAGATGCTTACCTGCAGCCAGGGCAACGTCCGGATCAGTGCGCTCCTCAGCCGATATGTTATCGGGTGCGTGGTGAGCCCGGCTCGTCGCACATTCATCAGCAGATGCACCCACTGACGTACACCCATGTTGCACGTACTCCAAACTGCTTTTTGCTTGAATTTTCTTCTTGATTTTTTGTTTTGCTTTATTGTTTTGCTCTGCCTTTGCTTTTGCTATTGTTTTTTGTTTTGCTTAGAACAACGAATTTTAGTGCATATTTCAATTTGTTTACTATTCTTGGTTTATTTATATGTATTATAACTTGAAAAAATAAAAGAAACGAAATTGAGAACCAAATGGCATTGAGAATTTTCGGAAATGTTAGTGAACGAAAAAAAAAAAACAAAAAGCAAATCAGGCAAATTCAGCTTTGACATCAACTTTTCAGGGCCTACTTTTCTGAGGCTTACTCTCTCAGACTCTCTCTCTCTCTCTCTCCCTCTCTCTCTCTCTCTCTCTCTCTCTCTCGACTGGTTAGACAAGGCAACTGGCCCACAATCCCATTCAAATTTAGTCAAATGATTTTGTACTCAAGCGTCGCGACGGACACTCAACAGATCCATAAAATCAAGTTGAACACCAAAGCAAACTGTTCAAACCGCACACCGAAGCCTTAAATACCCTGAACCCTCTTCTTCCAACAGGCGATAGCTAAAAAAGGAAAGATACTCGATATATATACATATATACTATTCTAGAAGCTAAATGTCAAGTTTGGTGACTCTAGCTCATATTATTTGCCGAAATTGCTCAAAATACAGGATTTCGATATCGATTTTTATCGATTACTTGGAAACGGGGCAAGTTATCGAATATCGGAAACAAACTCGATCTGCGCGAAGACTAGGAGGACCTACAGCTAATTTCAAGTCTCTAGCTCTTATAGGTTCTGAGATCCTTGCGTTCATACATACTGACAAACGGACGGACGGACGGACGGACGGACAGACGGACGGAAAGACAGACGGACATGGCTAGATCGACTCGGTTGTTGATGCTGATCAAGAATATATATACTTTATGGGGTCGGAGATGCTTCCTTCTGCCTGTTACATACATTTGCACAAATACATTAAAAAATTCTCAATATTAAAAATCGAGCACAAAGACAACTAAGAAAAAAAAACAAGAAATCAAGCAGACACTCATATATTCTCTAACAAAGTCAAAACGATTTGCTAACCAATTATTAGTTTTAAAAAAAAATATGCTCTATATGTTTTTGTAGACTAAGATATTTTCACTGTCAATTATGGCTGCATAAAGTCAACAACTAGTTTTAAGTAAAGTTTTTCGTTATTGAAGTGTCTTAGGTAATACTTATAAAGCGACTTTTCAAGCTCAGTGCTTGTAATTCCCAAATGGTTAAGGCGCATATTCAATGAAAGCAACTAGACGACCAAGCAGCTATGCTCGCACATTGAGCAGAGCATTGACAGGCTGTAATAAGAGAGCGCACCCCCAAAACGTTTCGATATGCCAAAGGAAAAGGGGCCGACTGAAGCAAGGACTGTGTGTGTGTGTGTGTGTGTGTGTGTGTGCTTGTGTGTGTTTGTGTGTGTTTGTCTGGCTGCCTGTCTTTGTGCTTAGACGAGCAGAGGGCGGCTGAGTGGGCAACAACACCAAGTTGTTTGCCCTAAGTGTTGAGAAGTTTGCGTTTTTACATTTTTGCCATGTGGCAAGCGGCAAGCGGCAGGGGGCAGGGGCAGGGGGCAGCGGCAGGGGGCAGGGGGCAAGCAACGCAAGTGACATTGATGAAACGGGCCGATGAACATTAGCCAAATACTGCAGACATTTTTGCACTAGACCATGCTTACGTGTGTGTGTGTGTGTGTGTGTGTGTGCCTCACAGGGGTGGTTTAATACACATATATATATACACACACACACACACACATATATATATACGTATGTGTGGGCGCTGGAGCTGAAGCAACAGAAGTCGTACAAGGACTAAATCGCAAAACCCAGCCCATCCATTGGAAAAGGAGTGACAGAATCCTGTGCAAAAGAATACAAAAAAAAAAACAAGTAAGAGGTTCTAGTCGGGAGCTCCCGACTAGGGGATACCCTGAACCCTCTTCTTTCAACAGGCGATAGCTAAAAATGGAAAGATACTCGATATATATATATATGTTAAGTTTGAAAAACAGTATTTCGATATCGATTTTTAGCGATTTCTTGGAAACGGGGCAAGTTATCGAATAGCGGAAACAAACTCGATCTGCGCGGAGACTAGGAGGACCTACAGCTAAAATTTCAAGTCTCTAGCTCTTATAGATTCTGAGATCCTTGCGTTCATACATACGGACGGACGGACGGACGGACAGACAGACAGACAGACGGACGGAAAGACAGACGGACATGGCTAGATCGACTCGGCTGTTGATGCTGATCAAGAATATATATACTTTATGGGGTCGGAGATGCCTCCTGCTGCCTGTTACATACATTTGCACAAATACATGAAACCCCTTTTACCCATTTTTAATGGGTTCAGGGTATAATAAGGCAAAACCTTGACAAACGCCATCGAGTCTGACTTTAAAGCGAGCTGTGGGCGTGGTCGTCGATAGCTTTGTTTGCCCATATGGAATATACTTTTGTATATGTTCGCGTTGAGGCGAGTTTCCAATATCCTGGGATTTTAATGAAAGGCTTCGCTATATATTCATATCATATGACTTCTATATCAATTTTATTTGGATTGAGACTATTTAAATATGTTATAATATTGATCGCCTTTTCCCTTGACTAAGTATATGGAGGATATTGTTATTATTATTATATTATATTATTATATAATTATATATATATCTGTTAAACAAAGATTTGGTGGGTGACGTTTCGTGTTCTCATTCATTTCAAAGGATCTATATGGAAAATCATTTGACACGCTTTTCACACTTTTCGCAGAATCCAAGCTTCCTCGGTGGAAAGTGAGATTTTGTCCGATTGGAATGAAACTTATTTAAAAAGCTCTACATAAGAACTTAATGAATTCGTGTTTTAGCAATTTGGGCGATTCCACCCGCAACAGTGGTAAATTGGCGGAAAACGGTTGTATGAAAGATTTATGTTTACCGTTCGATCGGGTTCAAACTCATTTTCAAAGATCTATGAGAATTTATTTGAAACGTGCCACGGCCAAGGCAGGGGTATATCCGCTATTTGCCTATATGGACATAGGTCGAAATTTCCCACTCCCTCTAGATCAATTTCGCACATAGGCCAAAATTTCCCAACCCCATAACTCGGTCAAATCTCGTCCGATTTTCACGAGTTTTGGCTCTTTGTTCATGGTTTGGCATCTTTATCAATTTGGCATCTAAACCTGGAAAAGTTATTCTTGGTCATAATTCATGTGAAAATGTAACCCGGAAACATCCTATATAGCCATAAGTCGAAATTTCCCACCTCCATAACTCGATCAAATCTCATCCGATTTTCACGAGTTTTAACATTTTGTTCATGGTCTGGTCTCTATATCAATTTGGCATCTAAATCTGTCAACTTTATTTTTGGTCCAAATTCATGTAAAAATTGTACGCAAATATCCTATATAGACATACATAGGTCTAAATTTCCCAACCCCATAACTCGGTCAAATCTCATCCGATTTTCACGAGTTTTGGCTCTTTGTTCATGATTTGGCCTCAAGATCAATTTGGCATTTAAATTTGCAAAAAATTATTCTTGGTCAAAATGCATATGAAAATGGATATATTGTTATTTATAAATTAGCTTTAGTACAGTCTAGGATATAGCCCAAATATGAATTTCTAGATTCAATTTTCAGCTAAGAAAAATGGCATTTACGCAAAGTATTATAGTTATTTTAAAATGAATTCGAAGTAGAGCAAAAATGATTTCAATTTTTCACACTTTCGGGTGGAATTAACCAATTTCCCCTCCCAGAGTGGAATCAGTCAGTCGGTCGATCAATCAGTCAGTCAGTCGGTCAATCTGTATTTGATTGTATAAATATTATATATATTATGATAAGTAAATGTCTTTAATACTTACTCAATATTCTTAGCGATGTTTTCACGGTTCAAAATAGTTTGAGAACGCGATTCAAATCTCGAAATATTCGATACATCATTGAGTTGCCCTCATTGAGGCGTTCAATCGATGTCTATTCAAACGGTTTTACACAACACTAGAAAAAAAAATATAAAAAAAATATTCACTTTAACTTTGAAACCTTTTCCACAACACACATTTGCGAATTAATTGTCGAACTGGATTTTATTTAGCTGAGAACCGTTTTCAACCGGCAAGTGCACATTCCACATAGATCTAGGGGAAAAGAGGGTTTAAATATTCCATAAATAATAATGAGATTAGACAGATAATTTAGACAAAAAAGTCGCAGAGTTGCAATCGGCTCGAGCCGATTACGCAATACTCTGTTCACGAGATTTAAAACGTGGAAATCAGTTGGGAAGAGTTTGGCTTGACTATCAGCTTGATTGAGTTGAAAACTGTATTGCAGTGACTTTCAAACTGTTTTGAGAGACTATTTGCTTGGCTGACTCAAAAACTGAACTGTAATGAAATTCCTTGTAAACTGTATTTTTTGTTAGAGCGCATAAAATGTTCTCTTCGATGATAGCTGGGTTGACTCTAAAACTGTAAAGCGTTGCCTTTCAAACTGTGTTTATTTGAGGGATACTTTTAGAGGGTCTAAAATGGTCTCTTTGACCATTAGTCTAAATGATTTTAAAACTGTAATAAAGTCACATTTAAACTATATTTATAGAGGGCTTAAAATGTCCTTTAATGATAGCTCTAAGACTGCAACGCAGTGACTTTCAAACTAAGAATAGTTGAGGGGAAGCATTTAGTTTGACTGACTCTAAAACTGTTATGAAGTTAATTCAAAACTGTCTATTTTGGGGGCTATTTTTAGAGAGCCTAAATTGGTCTCTGTTTCCCTATTACCTACCCTGAATCTAAAACTGTATTGTACTGTCTAAAATGGACTCTGGCTGATAGCTTGGTTGACCACAAAACTGTAACGAAGGTTCTTTTAGGACAGCATATAAAACATTCTCTGTTTCCCTATTCCATTGCCTGACTCTAAATATATACCCTTATGCCTTGATGCATATATAAAGATATAGCTATACGAATATAGATATAGATATATAGATATAGAAGCTACGTTTATCCAGACGAACTATTTTTACTCCCCACCAAAATATGCCCCTTTTCAACCTGTGAACAGAGTATAATTGGTTGCCATTTGCCAATTTGTAATCACAATCAACATGTCCCTGTTATCCAAGTATTGCCAACATTCAACAACTCAGCCAAAAAATACTGCTATAAAATACAAAAATGTCAAACGTTTTTGACACATATCGATTATATCGATATCGATTAAATCGATATCATACATACATACATCAAGTGACATATCTAACCGTGACTGGAACTTAGAAACGAAAACTTTTTGGTCAAAACTTTTTGCAGCCAACGAAAGCTTTTTGTGAATCCGTAAAGTTTGAATAAGTCCGACAAATAAATCGCATTGAACTAGAGTGTAGGGGATAAAGCCAGCCCTGAGGCTTTACGGCGACGTTTTCGCCTGACAAGCCGCCATTTTGAAACACTTTCGATTGGACTGAATATAACTAAACTCAACTTAATTCTATTGTTTCTATATAAGTGGAAATGGAACAGAACGGAAGAGTTGCGAAATTGAATAAAAATCGCGTACGCAAATGCATCGTGGATTGGAACAGTCATGTGGTTCAGGCGCTCGTCGAGAATGTGCGAAAGAATGAGAACCTGTGGAATCCGCATCATTCGTTCTACAGAGATCGGATCATAACGCAAAATGCCTGGGAGAATGTTTCGGCTGCCATTGATGTTCCGAAAAGCGAAGCAATCCTAAAATGGCATTCCATACGTTCCAGCTACAGGGTGAGTTATAACGAATCCATCGAATCCATCGAATCAATCAAATCAAGCTCTAATGACAGCCATTGTGTACTTCAAATGAATGAAGAATACCCTATTTCCCAGAGGAGGCTACGATAGTATTTTGGCATTGACCGGATCGGAATACTATATTATAAAGCGAATCGCCAGAGAATTAATTGCTTATTCAAACGTTTTTCCTCATGATGTCTTCAATAAACCCACAAATTCTAGAATATCTTATATATAGCAGCTATTGAAACAATCGAAAACTGAGTTTTGTTATGGACAACTTTCCTATATATTCATATCATATGGCTCCTATATCAATTTGTGAAGAATTGAGACTATAAATAAATACCATATCTTATATTATGGATCATTTGTTTCCTGTTTATTTCTATAATATGGCTCATCTCATATATATAGTATATATATGTATATCATATTAAATCAACTACTTTTCATATATGTATGCTTTGCAGACACATTTGAAAAACCTGCAGGAGTTCAGATCCGGACAGATGGTCAAGGACAAGAAACCGAATCCATTATATTCAACAATGTCCTTTCTCGATTCTGTCATGAAGTTTCCGTCCACGAATCCCCAATTGAGTACGGTAAGTATTCTCATTAGTTATATACATATGTACATAGATATTATATACATATATATAATGTATATTCTGTGACAGCATCCAGCAGATAGTCAGCTCAAGGCTAGCGATAATATCTGGGATGGCAGCCTGAGGAAAATGGAGCCCACCCAGGCGCTAATTGCCGGCAAATTGATTAGCAGCGTTCTCATCCAAGGCCAACTGGGCCAATTGAATATGGGCAGCAATATTGCGCATAATACTCCCAGGCTGTTCGAATCGTATCGTGAGTCGTTCAGCACCTAATGATAACATACACCCTCCCACCTTTCCCCTCCTCCAGCCCCACCCTCATTCGGCCCTAACACACAAATACATATACCTAATCCAGTTCTTATACTCGTTCGAGTTTTGTTTGAAAACCCAAATCACAACATCGATATTTATCGGTATTGGACTATCGGAAAACGTAAACCAAAATAGTACGGATTATATATTCGGCAAGCCGAAGATTTGATACCCTTACAGCTTTGCAGATATGTGACATTAGCGAAGCTCGTAAATTTGGCATTTGCCAAATTATAACTAATTTTACTACCGATTCTCCCTATAAGAGCTATTATACCCCAATTCACTCTCAGACATTGAACTTAGGGTATACAATAAACTATAAGCATGTTTGCCAGGCCACATTATTTGATATTAATAATTCCCTAATGTAGTATAAACTCGTTCCAGAACTACCCCGTATTGGATGTCCGACATTCAGAAGCGTTGAGACATTGGTGGAACTGCTGCCAAACAACATACATTGCCGTTGCTCGCTGTGCGGCGCTATGATGACATATCAATATGATAACATAAGAGAGCATTACGAGAGCTACCATCCGAACATGCCCGTAAATCAACACGCAAGCACTGCGTCGCTTGCAGCCACCGCGCCAAGCAGCACGAGTCAAAGTCAATGCAATCTAATGGTACGTACAGACAAGCACACACACACACACACACACACACACACACACACGAACACAGCGCAGAGAGCGACACAGAGAGACAAACACACACGCACACACATACATAGTATATGTATGCATAAGTATCACACCACCAACCCAGGCTGGGAACCACAATAGAATTTGTGTCGTTCCATTTAGCATACATGTAACTCAATTGAACGGCTTAATGAATTAAACAATTGAGCTTATTCCAGTGATTTTGTTTAATTGTTCAATCGGCTCATGAACTATCAAGTCTGTTAACTTATTTTTATTTTTTTTTTTTTGGTTTGTTTACGTACGTAACAGGATATCGATACTTTTTGATCAGCTGGTTAGTTTTTCATGGGCCCACAAAAAGCTGCTTAGATTTAAAAAGTTTCAGCTGTTTTGCGTTTGTTGTTGTTGTTTTCTTTGTTTTTTTTGTTTTTTTTAAATAAGTCCGACTGGCTGAACAACAACCATAGCGTTGTGAAAGAAACATACATAAATGACCCTCAGATTCCACAACGTGTTTAGGCGCACAACAACAACAACAACAACGACAACAACGGCAGCAGCAATAACAGCAAATGCAAGTACAACAACAAAACACAAACCGTTTCAAACCGGTTCAGCGCGTCGCATGCTCTCGTCGTGCTGTGCGCACGTGTGTGTGTTTCTGTGTGGCTGTGTGTGCGAGCTTACCTAATGCGCCTGTTTCTGCTGTGTATATGTTAGGCGCGCGCGCGTGTGTGTGTATACGTGTGTTTTGTGTTTGTGTTCCACTACGAACCATTCGCTCTGAACCGCACTCACTGCGCTCTTTGCAGAATTGCGCGCTGCGACGGCCGTGCGAGTGGAAGCGAGAGGCAACTAACTACGCTGGCCTGGCACCGGTTCATAAATTGGTTCCTGCTCTGGTTTGGCTCTCAGCTGTGCGACGTCTCCCGTTCAGTAAACGAACGATACTCAAGTACGACGCACGCTTTTCTGTTGTTTTTTTTTTCTTCTTCTCAACAACAATATTATTATTTTGGAATTGCCGTTGTTGTTATTGTTAAATATAATTGTCGTTGTCGTTCTCGTTCCCGTTCCCGTTCCCGTTGTTGTTGTTGTTGAAAATGTCGCTAAAGCGTTATAAAAATCCAGTTAACAATCACTTCATTTACAACGATGAAATCCGCAAAAGCACATGCAAAGTGTGCTTATTCGATATGGCCGGCAGGCACTCGGAGAACCTGATGCGCCATCTCAAGCGCAAACACCCGGCCACGTACGCCGAGGTGATGCTAGAGAAGCAGCGCCGTCGATCGGCCAATTCGAATCGATCCGGTTCAGACTCTGGCCCGTTGTCGTCCATGTTCAAATTCGAAACGCAGCCGCATAAGTTATTTATCAAATCGGTAAGACTCACAATTTTGACTCTGTATCGTATATATATCGATATAAACACACACACACACACACACACACATATATCTTTGCCTGCAGTTCCGTTATTAATTCCCACTATGCTTTATCTTTCATAATTATACATACATATATACATAAACTTATAACCGTTATATAATGTATATGTATGTGTATTACCAACCGAAAAGGAAAAATTGGCATTCAGACTTGACGAACCTGGCCAACAGCAGGTAATATACACAGATCAGTTAACTAAGCTGGCCCTCTCTCTCTCTCTCTCTCTCTCTCTCTCTCTCTCTCTCTCTCTCTCTCTCTCTCTCTCTCTCTCTCTTTCTGTAGCTATTAACGTCTTAACTTGCCTGACCTTTTTTTTACTATGTATTGCTTACATATATATCCTATAGTCTCATATTTTTTTGTTATATTCAAAAACTTTATCCCTACAATCTCTTCTCATTGAATAAAAACAATCCTATCTTACGGCACACCGAATATTAAATACCCTTGCCCTATGTCGAGATATTGCGACAAATAAAACATTTTCCACATCCAAATGCATTTTTGGAACACCGAATATTATATGCCCTTGAACTACATATGATATGGTAGTACGATATGGTTAAGATTTCAGCATGATAAGACTCGAATCTAAGCCAGACTTGATTCTGTATTCGTCATATTTCAGAAATCGGGCAATGGCTTAACTAACTAGAATTGAGAGCTTTACTTAATGCATATTGTATTATGCCTATTAGAATTTCCGCTTGTAGACGCGAGCTTATGATCTCTCTGTTGGCCAATTATTTCACACCCAAACATATCACATTCGCTAATTATATAGCTTGCCACATTTTCCATACTCATGTACTATGTTACTATGTACGTATTTCAGATGCCCATCGGGGCTGGATGCCCCAATGATTATGAGGAGGACACGTCCAGTCTGAATGGCAATGGGCAATTCGAGAGCGTTGACATTGGCAAGGAGGAGCTGTGCGAGGTGGTCCACTCGCCGGAGGCATTAAACGATTCCAGCGAATCGTACATATATCCGGACAATCCCAACGATGAGGATCCCTTCATAATGACCAATTTCGCCCAGGCGAACACAATGGGCAGCCCGAGCACCAATTCAACGCCCGCCGCCCAAACGTCCAACAATTCCGGCAATGCCACGGACACGGCTACGGCTGCGGCCAGTTCACGGCAGTCGTCGAATGATGCCAGCTTCCTGCAATACCTGAGCGACAAGTTTGGCAAATACAGCTCGAACACCAAATACACGGTACAATACCATATCAATTGCATATTGTACAAGGCCGATATGGGCTGTTATGATAATGCCGATGCCTCCAAATTGCCCGATTCGTATGCATAAGCACTCCACATGTACATATACATACATATACACATATATATATCTAACTATGTAAAGCATGCCAATTATATACATAATACATAAAGACATTTGTAGCTTAAATCGGAATAAGTAATTCCATATTGTCATATTGTCAACTTGATTGAACAAATCAAACAAAGCTAAACTACATATATAAAACCAATAAATCATCTTTAAAGTTCATATAAATTGTATATATGTATATATGTGTATATAGCTTTGTCTGTCTGTCTTGAAGTCTTGAATCTATAATTGTTAAATTTGCATAGCTCCTGCGTATCTTACTATATACTTAGCTGTCATTGGTATAATCGGGCGAAGCAGAAGTTCTGGCGTTCAAAACTTTTTGCTTTAACAAAGATAAGTTTATATATAACGATATATATATATATATATATACACATATATAATCGTGATCAGTTAGCTATGTCTTCCACTTATCGTTATATGGTTATAGAACTGCTTTTGTGGGTTTAACATATATCAGAATCACACTATATATCGTATAGTTGCTATTGGAAATAATATGTATGTCGAAAATTAAGTTCTTCAACAAGTGATCTGCACAATTCTCGCAACATATATACTATATCATAGTGCGTCTATAGGAACAATCGTTCCAAATTATCGATCTGGTATAAAGTTGAATGTATCTATTAGGTTCTGTCTTTCACGTTATTGAATCTTCGAACTCAGTTAAGTTCTCCACAAATTTAACATCTCTTGAAATCAGGCTTTCTGAAGTTCCGAAAATCTGGTCAAAATTTCTGTTATCAATTATTTCAATTATCCTTTTAACGTATCGGGCCGCGTTAACCTTGAGAGAGCGCATTGCTCCGCAGATTGGGTCAAGTAGCCGCAAAGTTCACATTCGGTTGTGCCACAATCCCACGCTCCCAGCTCCCTTCTCCCTGCTCCCTTCTAACTGCTCCCTTCTCCCTGCTCCCTTCTAACTGCTCCCTTCTCCCAATGGCCAGGGGTCAACAGCTGCTGTTCGAAGCATTCAAATTTTTGGCCACTTCATGCTGATGCGAGACTCTTGCTTATGAAAGTATTACCTTCTGTTTTCTTTTATTATTATTTTCAGTTTATTTTTCCTTCTTGTGGCTTCATTTACTTACTTACTTTCCTGCGGCGTATGAAATTTTGCATTTGCCTGTTTTTTTTTTTTTTTTTGCTTTTGGGCTATAGACATTTTGTCATCGATTTTGGCAAAATTATTGTGTCGGATTCCATTTCAATAAGATTTGCTTCAGATTTTAATATTTAGATTATAGAATCTAACAACATTCTATGCTATTTTTTTTTTTTGCCTAAATTGAACCCAATAAACTTTCGATTATGGGTTTCACGCTGCGAACCAGTTGCCTGTCTTAAAGTTCGCATCGTGAACTAGTGGACTAGTTCAAAACTAAGCGAATCATATATTGCCAAAGAATTGTTTGGTTCCGTTGCGGTTCCGCTTTTTATTGGCCCCATTAGCTGTTGTTCCGCTTACGAACCAGTTCAGTTCCCAGGCTGATTCTATGCCACATGCAGCTGCTGTGCTCGGTTAGGGTATACAAACGTCGTCTTGTATAAATTCAGAGCTCTTGTTATGCTCGTCAAATCTCTCTGGCTCATTGCGTCCGGGCAGGGCGTGGCAAGAAAGGGGCCCAATTGATGTACGGGCTGTTGGCCAAGCGGGCGCAATGAAAGGAAGAGCTAAAATGTCTGCTTGCCTGTGTGTGCTAGTGTGTGTGTGTGTGTGTGTGTACACAAGATACACACACACACACACAAGTGAAGAGAGTATCTGTGACACCACCGGCCGGCAAGGGCCACGTTTAGGGCTTCGTCTCTGGCTCGCCTGGCTTCAGCGAATTTTGAACCTGCGCGTCTGTCTGCCTGTATGCGTGTGTGTGTGTGTATGCGTGTGTGTGTGTGTGTGGCTCGCTCATAGGGGCGCCCTGTGCGGCTAACCCCCGTCGCAGCCAGCCAACGTTTCGGTACGTAACGCGTCCTCGCCATTTTCTTGGCGGTTATTAAAGGTTCATTATCAAATATGTCGGATGCGAGCTGCTTGTCGAGTCGAGTCGAGTCGAGTCGAGTCGAGTTGCTGCCGCATGCTGCATGCAGCTCGTGGTGCATAAAGGCTGAGCAAAGGCCTCATTTCATTTCTGCTGCAGTTGAAATGCAAACAAAGCACACACACACACACGCACACAAGCTTGGCCTGGCGCATGTGAAAGAAGCAGAAGAAGAAGAAGCAGCGCACACATAATACCAAAGCCGTTTACTTAGCTGCAAACACAGCGTCACACACCTGCCGCCCTTTGCTGTTGTTTCTTGCACACTCACACACACACACATGCACACACACACACACAGCAGGCCAATGCACCGTGCTGAACCATTCTTGGGCTCTACTTGCATTGGAATTGGATCTGGAACCGGAACTGGAGCTGGCTGGAATAATTGCACAGTAGCCAAACAGAGGCACAGGCATTAAATAAGTAGTATGATACCTGTTTATCCTTTCAGATTGATTGACTGCACGACTGACTAATTGATTCATTGATTGACTGGCTTATTGACTTACTCGCTGATTGATTGATTAACTGAACGGAAGACAGACTGACTGACCGACAGAGTATCTGATTGACTGACTGACTGCATGGCTAATTGACTGACTGATTGATTAACTGATTGACTGTTTTATTGACTGACAGACTGGTTGATGGACTATCTGATTGATTGAATGACTGATTAGCTGACTGAATGATTTATTGACTGACTCATTTATTCATTGGCTTATTGTCTGACAAACTGGCTGATTGATTGACTGATTGTATTAAAAACCATCTAATTGACTGCCGTGCGGATTAACTGATTGAATGGTTTATTGATTGATTTACTGACAAACTGACTGACTGCTTGACTGATGGCACATTAACTGATTGATTGGCTGACAGACTGTATGTTTGATTGACTGACTGACTGATTAACTGATCGAATGGTTTCTCTAGTGACAGACTGGCTGATTGACTGACTGTTTGATTGACTGACTGACTGATTGATTGAGGACTGATTAATTGATTGACTAATAGACTGACGTATTCATTGCCTGACTGACTAATTGATTGTTTAAACGATTGACTGATTGACAAAGTCAGTTGAGGACAAAAACAAGCAACATTGACTGTGAGCCAAGCCCAATATTAATGAAATTTCGATACATTTCAGAATACATTCCAAATTATATAGATAAATAACTGTAAATACTTACCCCAAAATTCACATATGTAGGTACGCACGCACGCACGATTATTTGATTGTCATCTAATTGTAGAAGGCAGACAGACTTCTATAAATACTGAGCACTAAACGAATACAAGAAGTAGAGACCGGATTAGAGTAAGAGCAGGAGAAAGAATGAGATGGAGTGAAGAAATATGTTAGAGCGAGAGTATGGAAAGAAGTAAAGTTAATTAGATTAACCACACAATGTCTTATCATAATTAGTTGATAATAATAATTATTGTTAATTGCTAATTATCAAAGCATGAAGTTCTGCATGTTCTACTTGATTTCATGAGAATCGCATAGTAGGGCGATATTTCAAATTTATTTTTACGAACGTAAACGTTGTCTGCGAAAAACAAATAAGTTTCAAACAACGGTTTTAACTGTTGGATTTTCTAAGGTCCTTGAACTACGTCTTTTATGTTAAGTAAACAGTGCAGCTCTCACAATTTGGACTGCCAGTCAATCAGTCAATCGATCGATCCGTCAATCAACCAGTCAGCTAATTAATCAGTTGGTCAATCGTGTCTTAAGTAATAAAGAAGCAGCTCTTACGATTTGGAGTGTCGGTCAATCAGTCAGTCAATCAATTAGTTAATTGGTCAGTCAGTTATTCAATCAGTCAACCAACCAGTCATACAACCCATCTACCAATCAAACCAAGTCAGTCATTTAATCAGTCAGCAAATCAATCAAACAGTCCGCAATTCAGTCAATCAGTTATGCAATCAGTCAATCAAACAGAACAAAGCGTATTTGTAGATATCTGATTGAATATATTTAACTCAAACGTGACCATATTTTTTAATAAAACCCCCCCCCCCCCCCCCCCAAAGGAGCTGATGATAATCGCTCGACGCATTCATGACATACATACATACATATGTACATATGTACATATGTTAAGGGCATAAAAACAGTCGTAATCTGTTTGGTTGGAAACAACAACAAAAATACTACATTAAAACAAAGAAAAGAGAAGAAAAGAAAGAAAAAAAACAAAGTGCCGATTGTGCTGCTGATTGAGTTTGAGCAGCGCTCGGCGGGGGTGGAGGGCCCGAATTCGAGCCCGAGCTATGCGAAGTGGGCAAAGGCAAGCCCAGCATCAAATCGCAGCACAGGCACAATTGCAGTTATTACATATGCAAACTAGCTGTGTGCGTGTGCGTGTGCGTGTGCGTGTGTGTGTCGTATCTATAAATGTAAGCACGTTTATGCCTGGCTCTGAGGGATGCAGCTGAAACTCTCTCACACACACACACACACACACACGCGCGCACAGCCGTAGCTATACGAAATGTCGCCTGAATTTTTGTACCCGCTGCCTTCCATGTAATTCGCTTTAGTTCGCTTCTTTTCTGCTCTGCTTTATTGTTGTTGTGTGTGTGTGTGTGTGTGTGTGTGTTTTTTCGTGTAAATAAAATAGATGAAAATCAATTTGACGTGTCTTGAATTCTGTTTAAGGTTTAAAGAACTCGTTTCACCAAAAAGATAAAAACGAGCCAGCGACAAGCAACAAGGGGCCAGGGCAACAGGGCGCAATAAGAGCGAACGAGGGGGGGGGGGGGAGAGAGAGAGAGACAGGCAGAGAGACAGAGACAGAGACAGAGCGGGAGAGTCAAATGGAAAACAACTCAAAACTCGAACTCGATTTTTTTTTCTTCATTTTTTTGTTCTTGTTGTGTTGTGCTCGTTGATGGGGGAAGGGGGCAAAGCAAAACGCACCACATCACATCGCACATACATATACACACATACATACATATTTATGCGTAAACATATGTAATGTTTCCGTTGGACCCCAGCGACGTTTTCTTTTCTTTTTGGTTTTTTTTTTTTTTTTTTTTGGTTTAAATATATGGGATTTACCTAGCATTAAGGGCTGCTCATAATTACATCAATCTCTTTGCCATTCAAACGAGCCGTATCGTATGCATAGGTGTGCGTGCGTGTGTACGTGTGTGTGTGTGTGCGAAGAAACGCTTAAGAATGACCGTGGAATGAGGTAAAAACAAATCAAATGTTGCAGCTCTTGGTCGATTTGTCACATGATTTACGAATAGATTCTCCTGCTGATGATATCACAGCTGCCATGAAATAGACGAGCTCATCAGTTGAACACGGAGTTTGAGGGTGAGCTCTATTTATAATACTTTTACGTCTGCTTTTTGATATTAAATGTCTAGGAAATTTCCCAATGAGTAAATTCAATACATAGGCTGGCCATCACTCAGTCTGATAGTCACACAGCTAGTCAGTTTGTCAATTAGTTGGTCAGTCAATCAGACCGTCAGTTAATGCATCAATCAGTCAGTCAGCCAACAAGTCAGTCAATCATCCAATAAATCAGTCAATCAGCCAGTTAGTCATTTATTCAGTCATTCAAGGTCAGTCAAGAGACAGTCAGTCAATTTGTTGGTCAGTCATTTAGTAAATCAATCAGTAAGCTATACAAAAAGCCAATCAATCAATCAGTCAATATGGCAGCCTTTCAGTCATTCAATCAGTCAATCAGTCTATCAATTATTCAGTCAGTCATTCAATCAATTTGCCAATCAATCAATTGATCAGTCAGTCAGTCACTTAGCCATTCAATCAATCAGTCAGTCGTTCAATTATGCAAGCAATCAATCATTAATTAGTCAATCAGCCAACCAGTCAATCAAATAATTAATTTTTCATTAGAAAGTCATTCAATCATTCAGACTGACAGTCAGTCATTCAATCAGTCATCAAATCAATCAATCAATCAGTCGCTTTGGCAATCAATCTATCAGTCAGTCGTTCAATCAGTCAGTCTGACATTCAGACAATTAGTCAGTCAGTCATTCTATCAGTCAGCCAATCAATCAATTAATCAGTCAGTCACTAAGCCAATCAATCAATTATCAATTAGTCAAACAGCCAACAAGTCAATCAGCCTGACAGTCCATCAGTCGTTTAATCAGGCATTCAATCATTTAGTCTAACACTTAATCAACTGACTGACTGTCAGTCAGGCAATCAATTAATCAGTCAGTCAGTCAATCAGTCCTGCAGCCCTGTCAAAAAGCGTATTCTGGCTGAAGCCAGAGGCACTCAATCAGCTTCAGCCAGCTCCCCACATGCTCCATGGTCAGTTTATTAACTGGGTTGCCTGTCTCGATTACAATAGCAAATGCCAAGAGTTAATTCAATCAATATTTGAACTGATTGATCAAATTTGACTGAACAGATGCAGCAGCAGCTGAAGACAATACAATTTCACAGATTCAAACCGAGAGAGGAGGAGGAGAGGGGGATGGGGGAGGTAATGGGGGTTGACGTAGTTTATATGATATGCTGCTCGGATGCAATGCTGACAAAGACAGGACAACGGTGGCAGCCGTCAGTCAGTCAGTCAGTCAGTCAGTCAGTCAGTCAGCGGCATTGGCATAGCCAAAGCCGAAGCACAACAATGAACAAATCATCATGAACTAAGAGCAAACAACACAACACAACAACAACAACGACAACAACAACGACAACGACGAGAAGCGTCATCATCATCAACACCATTTCGCCCCGCATAGCCCAGATGGCGGATGGGCGGAGCTGCGGGACAGCGGGGCAGCGTGCGGCGAAGGTACAAAACAATGAGGCGTCGAAAATGCTCGGCGACTGCAGCAGACGGGCGGCGGGGCGCGGCAAACGTCTCAAGCAGCACACAAAAGGCAACAAGCTACGACAACAACAACAACAAATGCAGCAACAACTGCAACAACTGCAACAACAACAACAACTGCATCAGCAGCAACAGCAACAAAAGGAGTCCCGACTGCGCTGCGCTGCGCTGCGGCAGGCAACCAGAAACCGAACCAAGCCAACAAAACTATTTGCTCAGCACATACCCTGTAGACAGCGAACAGTCGTTAGGGGGTATGCCAGGCGATAGAAGGAAACAAGTGGAAAGCTTGCCTGACTAGCTGATACCCTAAACAGGCTAGCTTATTTATACACTTTCTTCCTTTGCCTGAGAAAAACATTCTTGAAAATGCCCGACTAGCAGATACCCTGAACATGCTAGCTTATGGGATTACACTTGAGTTATGCCCGACTAGAAGATACCCTGAACATGCTAGCTTACTTCAACACTTCCTTCCTTTGCCTGGGGAAAATATTCTTGATTAATGCCCGACTAGAAGATACCCTAAACATGATTACACTTGACTTATGCCCGACTAGAAGATACCCTGAACATGCTAGCTTCCTTCAACACTTCCTTCCTTTGCCTGGGGAAAATATTCTTGATTAATGCCCGACTAGAAGATACCCTAAACAGATACCCTGAACATGCTAGATTACTTCTAAACTTCCTTTCTTTGCCTGGGGAGAACATTCCTAATTAATGCCCGACTAGCAGATACCCTAAACATGCTGGCTTATATGATTACACTTGACTTATGCCCGACTAGAAGATACCCTAAACATGCTAGCTTACTTCAACACTTCCTTCAATCCAATCTAAAGATTGGATAGGTGAAAATGCTCGAGCTCAAGCTCATATCGAAGAATCTTTAGAAACATTCACTTCAAGCAAGTTTCACACATTTCGGTAATTCCACAACTAGTACTTCGTGAAAATGTGAGTCAATGATTTTGATGGGTGAAAATACGCTAGCTCTAGCTCATATCGAAGAATCTATAGGAAATTTAACTTCTAGCGTTTTTCACAATTTTCGGAAATTCCAGATATTCTGTATTGCAAATGGAATTTAAAGGTTTTAGGTTTTAACTTGACTTTTAACTAAATAGAGACCCGGAAAATAGTCGGAAAACGTTCGTATTCTACTTTTTGCTTATCAACCGATCGGCTTCTAACTCGTCTCCCAAGATCTTTGTACAAATTTGTTTAAACCTAACTTGAGCAATATTATTATTAAATTATGCTGTTTTTTCTTTCATTTTTTTTTTTTTTTTGGCACATTTTGAGGTTAGGTAATCAGCTGTAGGCGACCTAACCTCAATGTGCCGCCAGGCTCAACCCGGGCCTGACCGAAGCCGACAGCAATTTGGGAGCGCACTTATTTTATGGATTTTACAATGTGGCTGCGATTTTTATAATGCATTTTTTACCTGCGTTTCAGCAGTGCGTGCGTGCACACACACACACCTGCAAGGAGCGAGAGAGTGAACCACTGAACCGGAACCAGTTCCAGTACCAGAGACTGATCTGGTCTAAGCTAAGATAATTTCGCAGAGTCGACAAGATCTGAGAGATGTGACAAAGAGGCTAAAGACGGATCAGAGAGAGAGAGATAGTGATAGTGAGAGAGAGAGACAGAGAGAGAGAGAGAGAGTGGGAGAGAGTAAGAGTGCGAATGTTGAGTGGATTGGGAGTAATTAAGGCGATTTTAAATAAGTATGTGTTGATTCTTCACACTCCGACGCACACGCACACACACACACACACACACACACGCACAGGCCAGGCTTGAGGTCCTGCGTCTGGTCGCAAAGACTAGCCGCAAAAACAACCCTCGACCCCGCGCTTACCATCGCCGTCCCTCCTACCCATCCCCCCCCTCCGCCCCCCGCCAGCATCCCGCCTCCCTGTCATGCTCCTTCCCCAACCGCCTGTCAACGGGTGGCGCGCAATAAAGATGTGAAATGTGAACGAACCGGAAGCTGCTAAGGCAATGCCTGCCAGAGCGTGAGAGCGAAAGGGAGCGACAGAGATTGTGAGAGAGGGTGAGAGTGTGTGAGTGGGAGAGTGGGAGAGGGAGCGCAGGCCGAGCGTGGGGTGGGGCAGACGAGCGAGTGAAGGTTGCGTTTTGAGCGTGTTGCCATTGTTGTCGCCGTTGTCGATACACGGATTGATGTGGATGCTCTTAATGCCCGACAGCCCGCAAAATCATTGTCAGGGCTTTTCACAACGATTTGCGCCCATTTTGATAGCACCCCCTCCCCTTCCCCTGACACCCACTGCCCAAACCCGTTACAGTTAACGTTAACGTTACCGTTACCTTGGCAATCAGGGCTTTAATTAGTTTAAGTGCTTGCGATATTCATGCATAACAAACCCTTGAATAAACATACACATAAATACATATGTGTGTGTGTGTGTGTGTCTGAATATATGTATCTATATGTTTATATATACATATATAAGTGGGCGATTGTTGTGACTTTATTGTAATGCAAATTACGATTTATTAGGTTATGTTTAGGCAATTTATCGATGGCTACTTAAAACGTAGCACGCCGAAGATTAAATACACTTTCCAGGCACCTGGCTTGGAATTGATGTCTTAGTAAAGCTATATAGGCGACCATTTTATATAGTTAAGACCTCCGATTTATTATAATATCCTAGGTGAGAATTTATCACATATATCACATATGTATATCATATTATAGATCTTTAGATCCCTTTAATATCCAGCTCATTGCGGTACTTTTCCCATCCACTTAACTGAACTTAATCGTTTTACCAATTGAGCTCGATCTCTATTTTAACGCTTTTATTTCTCTTTTAATATTTGAAGAAATGCTCTTTAAATATCCATAACAGATAACACACACACACGCACACACACACACACACGCTTGGGGAAATGCCAGAGAAAATGGTTTTCTAATTATAGTTGCCCCAATGAATGGAAACAGACAATTTGTTTTTGAGCCCAAACATTTTAGGTTTTTCCCCCGACGCCACTGTCCATGTGTGTGTGCGTGCGTGTGTGTGTGTGTGTGTGCGTGTGCGTGTGTGTGCCCCCTCTACAAAGCGAGCGCATCGCTAAAGTATTTGATATAGAGCTGGTAACGCCTTCGATAACTGTAGTTGAGCACTTATCGTTGCGTCTCGAGGGGTGGACACACACGTGTGTGCGGGGGAGGAGGGGGCTTGTTAATTGTCCATGAGAAAACCCGTTGCACATCTATGCTATGCCAAACTTTAAAATACAAAGCAACTCTCTTTACATTAAAACCGATTTCCAATTAAAATTTGGGCTACCGCACTGACAAAACAACAAAAACTCTAATGATTTCAGTCTGCGATAAGAAGTGACGATTGCGTTGGCGTCGACGCCGACGTCGCTGTCGACGCAGCGAGCAAATGAATATAAAAATGCGCTTGTACTTTAATTGGTTTCAACGCTGGCTAAAGCAAAAGCAAGAGCAACCCCCCCCCCACTTTGTGCTCTTAGCATAAACACACGCACAAGTAAACTGTGTGTGCGTGCATGCACATGAAGCTGCAGCGCAGCCACAGCAGCAGCATCAGCAGCCGCAGATGTACACATGAATTTTTAACAGCTGATAGCATTTGAAATTTATGACAACGCCGCTGACTCTTAAGCGCATCGAAGACACGGCCTAAGCACTATGCCGCTCTTGCACTTAATTTCTCTCACTCTCTCACACTCTTGCTGCGCTCTTTGACGCTCTTTGGCTAAATAATTTTTGACAGCGCTGTCGATGCTGTTGTTGCCGCTGCTGCTGCGACGCTGCTACTGCCGCTGCTACTGCGGCTGCGACTGCGGCTGCTGCTGCGGCTTTGGCTGCTGTTGTTGTTCTTGCCTGTCTGCGTCCGTCTTTAGTTTTGTTTGCTTCTTGTGTTTCTTTTTTCTTTTAGTGGCGAACAGGGGGCAACTATCAACTTCCGAGTTGGGGGATCGTGTCTAAGTCTGATCAAAGCATAAACACAAATGTTGTTGTTGTAAATTCTATTGTCACGTCGCATCTTACAGCGTTGCTGATAAGCAGCAAAACAGCTGACAACACACTGTGGGGGAGCGGGAATATGAATGCGCTTGTACATACGATTGCATATGTGCATGCGTGTATGTGTAAGTGTGCATGTGTGTGTGTGTGTGTGTGTGTGTGTGTATGCCTACCTGTGAACAGCTGCACATGTAAAGGTCCCGGCGTCTTGTTATACCTTGCCGAGGGCTATACAATTTTGTCACGAAATCTGTAACGCAGTAAAATAAATTTCGAATGAATATACATACATATGTGTGTGTACATAAAAACATATATAGGTATATATAAAAATTTAAAAAACAAATTGTAATCAACAAAAAATTTCTAAATACAATAATTTAATAATTCAGTATTTTCTTCATTTTTAATTTCAAATACATATACATATGTACATATGTACATACATACATACATATGTACATACGTATATGTATATCTGCAAGAGCATTAAATTTTCGGCACACTCTAAATAACGGTTTGTTACTTGTTTCTGTTCTTGTCACGAATTATTTTCTTTATAGATCTGGCAGCGCTGAGCGTTAAGCAAATCTGTTCCCAGCATAATCCATGCTTAATTGTTGGCCACCCTTCAATTTTGTAAGCCGCCGCCGCTGCCACAACCTCCCCTTTGGCGACACACAAGCGCACACACACACACATACACATACAGTTGTTTTTTTTTTTTGACTGTGTGTGTGCATATCTTGATAGATACACAAGCGTCGATTAATAATTATGAAACAAAATGGGCAATGATTACTTCAAACGGCTCCGGCGAAACCTTAGAAAGTTTTCTGGCCTTCACCTGCCACTAAGACGAGCAGCGACAGGCAACAACAGCCAAGTCTTCGTCTCGGGATTAGCCCAGAAAAGTAACTCAATACCAAAACCAATAGCAACGGAGCGCCTCAGAAAATATCCAAAGCGAATGAGTGAGCGAGCGTGCAAAATTCATGTAAACTGTAGTAAGAGCGGGAGAGCGAAGTTGATTGTCAGCAGGGGGGGAGGCGAATAAGTGATGACATAGCCGTGAACAGAAGAAGCAGCCAGGCAATATCGTTGCACTCACACACACACACACACACACAGAGAGAGATACACAACACACACACACACACAGACGGCGAGCATGCAAAGACACGGAGCAACATTTGATTGTCGGCTATGCACAACAAACCAGTATAATTGCACAAACACACACACACACACAGCCACACACACCAGAAACAAGCATAGTTGAAGAGATGGGCTGAAATTGACTGGCGAGTGAAGGGCGCTCTCTTTGGCTTAAAGGACGAGACGTAAAACAAAACGTGCGACAGCAGCGCAGCAGGCAGCACAGAAATTCACAAAATAAAAAAAAAAGGAAAAAACAAATAGAAATAATAATCAAATGGAAGCTAAAACATCAGCAAACGCAAGCGGGCGTCCCAATTCAAACGGCGTCTCCTACCTCGCCGCCCCCGTCTGTCCACTCGTGGGGGCCAGCTACCACGCGGCTGAAAAATGTTCGCTCATTTGTATTATGTATTTTGTCTCTGTGTGTGTGTGTGTGTGTTTTATACTGACCTCGACGTCGCTGCCAGCGTCGAATGTGGCGTCGCAGCTCTTTGTTATGCGTTCGTTCTCTTTTGGCTAGGCTTTTGGTTTTCTCTTGCTTCCGCCCTTGTTGCTGGTTGTTGTTGGTTGTGTGCCGCTTGCTCAGCGCAATGACTTGTGGGACTTGTTGGCAGCGACGCTAACGTCGGCGTCGTCATTGTTCCGCGCAGCCGTTTAACTTTGCGTTTGTGTTTATAAATGTGTGCTTGGCAGTGTATATGTGTGTGTGTGTGTACATACGTACGTACGAGCGTACGTGTGTGCTATGGTCTCATTTCAAGATAATCGTCACACGAATGAGTTGCTGATGTTTTTGTTGTTATTATTGCGCTGCTTGTTGCTGGTTGTTGTAATTTAGCGGTTTTGCTTTGTATTTTCTCTTGTTGTTGTTGCTTTTGTTGTGTTCTTACTATGCTAGCTTATAAGCTGTATATATGTAATGGCCTTTTTCATGCATGTTATGTACGTATGTAGGAACATACTTATGCATGCATGTTACTTGTATGACGTATGACATACAGTTACCATATTCTGATACACAGCAACAATTTCTTCTTAGTCCTCTTTACAAGAGTATTTCAACTTCTTCATGTCCAAAGGCAACAAAAATAAACAGCAAACAAAATATACACACATATGTATGTATGTATGTATATATTTTGTTTTCCTTCCCACTTCTTTGTTTCGCTTTGGTTTTTTTTTTTTTTTTCTCCCGCTTGCTCGCGCTGCTGTTGTAGTTGCCAGACTTTTCGCCTAGTTGCTGCTTAATGTTATTAGATATGTTATTGTGTTTTTGTTTTGCTTTTGTTTTATTCTGATGATATTGTGTTTAGCATTTTAACCCATTTAAGTGTTAAATACTTAATGTCAACAGGTTCTGACCCAAATGCGTAGACAAATGCGCCAATAGGTAAACAAAAGAGTATATATACATATGTATATATTATGTATGTACATACATGTATGTATATACATAATGAGTGCGTGTATGTATGTGTGCGCGCGCGTGTATCTGTGTATTTGTACATACAGACAAAGCGTTCGCCTTGCTCGGGAAAATGTTCACTTAAGGCATTTACATCCGGGAATCAGTTATTGTATGAGCATACATATGTACATACGTACATACATCACATATACATAGATAGCCTAACACTTATTTGCGACCTTTTGCTAACTGAGTTGATCTTGGATTCAGTTGGGGGATCGGGGCGTCTTGACAATCCGGCTTCAATGCGAGAAAAATTCATTTACATATTTATGGATAAATTGTTCATATCGTTTGTACATACATATACAAACAAATAAACAAAAAGAGTGGCAGCTCTGCCCGTGCGGGCGCGTGTTGTTTTTGTCTGTTGCTTAACAATAAATTGGAAGCAGCAGAGGCAGCAGCAACAACAGATATACACACACACACACACACACACACACATACATATATAATTTCAATTTGAATTCGAAATGCGCCGCAACAATAATTGTTGCTGTTTTCGCAACAACAACAACAGCAACAACAATAACAATAAGAACAAGCGAAAACGAAAATCGAAAACAACAAAAACAATGTCAACGCTTTCGTTGGCGGCAACGTCAACGTCGACGTCGAAGGTGACGGCGTCAACAGCATCAGCAGCAGCATCATCACAGCACGCCTGCTGTCAACGTCAACGTCAGCGTTGGCAGCACCAGCACCAGCTCACAGTCACTTAGCGCAACAGCGACGTCGGCAGAGCCGTTAACGCTAACGTATATATCGACTGCGGCGTTAACTTCCGGCATATTCTTGCTCATCTCCAAGTTGTTATTATTATTATTATTATTATTAAAGTTAACACGACACGTATTGCAATAAATATAACAACAACATGCGCACCGAAGTTTGGAATAGCATTTGCAAAGAGAGCGAAAAAGGAGCACGAAATGAAATTTGATTAAATAAAATACACTAACCCATAGACTACAAACACTTGAATATCTGTAATGTACACGCATTTAAATACATACACATATGTATGTGTGTATATGCATGTGTGCAGGCAGGTATGGTATGCATGACCATTTGTACAGCGTACCCGCCAGCTTTTCAAACAAGATATCAATCGAAAATATGCTAAGAATGCTCTCATATGAGAGCGTATGAGAGCGGTGTAGGGGACACGAGGCATATAAAAATCAGTCGAAAAACGCATTTAAAGCCACTCAAAAGCTAAACAGAAGACCATAAAATGTTTTTCACGCCATCGCTGCCGCCGGCCACGGCCTGGGCCACCACGCCAAGCGGAGCCCGAGGGTTGGACGGACGGGCGGACCGCAGGCCACTTGTGTACTATTACTACACACAGTGAATCACACACACACGCACGCACACATTTTGTGTTACAGTTTCAATTTAAAAGGAATACGTTCCCACACGCACGCATACACACACAAACACACACACACACATATGCACACATACACGCAAACACAAAGAGGCATCATCATCAATTTCTAAATGCAAAACCGCAATAAAAAAAGCAACAACAAGTAAAATATAAAAGCAATAACACAACACTGAACTGTGCACACACTCACCGGCCCAACAGCAGAGAGCGCCAGATACCTAGTCTTTGTTGAATAACAGCTTGGGTTAGATGATTTCAATATATTAAGATCAAATGAAAAGATTTAAAGTTTAGATGATATTTAATTTATTATTACATTTGTGGCTCATTTTACAGCGCCAAAATAGCTAATATGCTGGCTGCCTGGCATAGTGTACCATAAACACAGCAAAGCAGAGAAGTCAAAGCCGAAATCGAAGTACACACGAAGTAGTGAGAGCCGCACAAAGACACCAGCAGAGATGATAGACAGAGAGCGCGCGCGAGAGAGAGACAGTGTAACGAGAGAGTGAGAGAGTAAGAGGCGGCAAAATGGTGTGGCTGGCAAACGTTGCGCTCTGTTTCGGTTTGTCGAGTGTTGATGATTTTACGAGAGTGTGAGGGGGGGGGGGGGGTGGCGGCGTTTGTCGAGGAGGGTCATAGAGTAATGACGAGGACGACGCACGCACGTGTAACCGTAAAAAGAGTAAACGAGTAGTGGGCCGTGCATGTGGGTGTGTGCGTGTGTGCTTGTTTATGTATGTAGTGTGTATTTACTTTGCAAAATAACAAGCCAGGGGCAAGCTGGGTGACAAGATAATTGTTGGTGCGCGAAAGTGTTTGGTAATGCGACCGAGAACTGATCCGTTAATTTGGCTGTATGTATGCATGTGTATCCATGTGTGTGTCTGTGTGTGTGTGTGTGTGTGTGTGTTTGTATTAAATAATTTAGATTCAGTTACTTTTGATGTCATATCTGATGATAACTCAATGATAACCGTTTGCTGCGCTCGCAAACATACGACCTCTCTTCTCGTTAGACTGCGGATAGGCGAATGACCCAACGTTTTGACTCAGCAGTTATATCAATGTCACATCCATGCCAAAAAAAAACAAAAAAAACACAGCAAAACTTCCACAATATTTCGGGCATTAGCCCCTTGTATAAAATGCTTGCTTCAAGGTAATTTTGTATTTTAAATTATTTGTGTTTTTGTTTTTTGTTATTTATTTAGTTCATTGT